ACGAAACTGTATTCAGTACACCAGAAGCTGTATTCAGTATATCAGGCGCTTTACTCAGTATATCAGACTCTTTACTAAGTGTATCAGGCGCTTTACTCAGTATAACAGACTCTTTACTCAGTATATCAGACTCTTTACTCAGTGTATCAGCAGGCGCTTTACTCAGTATGATAGACGTCCCTTTACTCAGTAAAGTGAAGGCGTTAGTTCAAAGACTTACTATCATCAGAGGCTGGCCGATAACTGGTTCGTCTTAAATTGGCGAGTACCTTATTTACAAGATGTTTCTTAACATGTTGTGTTTGATATTTGTATCTTGCTATTTCATAGAATCTCTTTCAGGATCCGGAATATGAGACTCTTTATATTTGAACATTCAGTGCTTCCATATAGTTATATTCAACTGAATTTGTTAAGATTTGAATTAGAGCCAGAATTGCTTTTAAAACTTATCTATGAAGAATATCTGCAAAAAGATTTCCAGTAAAAAGGAAACGATAAAGTTAATTCAAATACAAATTTCTCACTGAATTTAAGTATTATTTTCTTTAGAAACCTTTGCTTTATACATGTCATGGACTAAGTTTTTATCTTGTATGGCGTGAATATCGTATGATTAATTCAATCTACACATCAAGTGATATAAGACTTAAAAGATTTTTTGCCATTTCATGTAAGGTTTTGTGAGAAATTGAAACAAGATAAGGTTATCAATGGCCTGTAGTTTGCTTAGAAAGTTCCATAAATATCTGATTTCTCCGAGTATCTGTTTTCATATAAATATATATCTTTCGTAGACCCTGGCCTGATAAAGATAGTCAATATGCATCGGCATCTACTTTTAACTTGGATTTCCAATCATGGAATTTCAATCCTGTAATGAACCCCATCTGAAGCCTTTCTATTGTACGATGAATTTTCATTAGCGGTTCTTGAATTTGAATCCCTGAAACCGAAAAGAACAATGGTGGATCAAAAACCATCAAGGTCATCTTCACAATTTCAAGTTTTTTCTGCTTATACCTTGACTGCAATAGTCACCTTTCTTGTATCATGGAATGCAACAATTTGATTTGATTGTACGCTAAAAAATACAGGCAACCAGAGCCCTAAAAAATCTGTGAACAATATGGCTATGTGTCCAGACCTCTGATTGACTGTATTCGCTAACGAACAATCAAATCGCTTCATTACCAAACCTCCAAGAGACAAGAAAGGTTCTTCCTCATTGTTTTCCTAAATGTATGTCATTATCTGATAATTTGTAAAAGAGAGTCAATGTCGATCAGTATATTACTGTTCCAATATTTTAAGCATGATTAATTCACAAAGATGGTAATTGAATCGAATGGTAGAACCTGTTTTACATCAAAGTAATGGTCTAAGACAATGATATATCTAATGCCAATAACTGTTATATCGTTGTGGCTTCAAAACAAACAAAATCCTACCAGTTTATCACCAAAATAGCCCCACAATAAGTAATTTCATTTCAGTTTTATAACAATGAAACATAAAGCCGCTCTTGGGCCAATTTGAATCGAGAAAAAACAATTGCCGCTGAGTTTCCGATTATTAATTTTGACATTTGTGTAATATAATATAACTACACGGAAATGAAGTCTAATTGAATTCAGATCATATTGGTATGCCTCTACGTAATACAAATACTATAATCTTTAAAGAGAGTTCAATATAATAAAAAAAAACATTACATTCCACAACGAATACAATTTGAAACAATGATCCATGACAATATCAGTATTAAATGTTTTAGTACAAGGGGCGTAAATGTCTGAAATGTCATTTTTTTCAGATGGATCTGTTGTTCTTGCATTTGTATATTTTCCGAAGACCAAATAACTGAAATGACCTTTTCGTGCAGGTTTTTTTGTCAATTATTCCGGTAAGAAAAAGTCAATCTTGTCCTTGGTTTCTTGATGCCCTTGGCTAATAATAAAGATTTGAGCGACTGACTTGACGTGAAAGATTGTGGAGACCGTAGACAGTTCTACTTTAACGTTACAGATTATAATCTGAAATAATATAGTTGTTTTTGTGTAAATTAGTGTTATTATGTAAGGTCGCTTTCATCTTTCTATCCTGTGGCGCATATTGATTCAATTGAATTGATAGTGTTATTGTTTTATCTGAATGTTCCTGCAGATATATTTGCTGGTTTACATAATATGATATTAAAGCAATCTGTTTTGTATGATTTATTAAGATCATTTCTACACAAGACACAATGTCAAGATATCTACTTACTCTATACATACACAGATTATTCTGTCAAAATGTCTACACAAGACACAATGTCAAGATGTCTACTTACTCTATACAGACACCAATTATAATGGCAAGATGTCTACTCCGTATATACACCAATCATTATGCCAAGTTGTCTGCTCTGTATATACACCAATCATCATGCCAAGTTGTCTGCTCTGTATATACACCAATAATCATGCCAAGTTGTCTGCTCTGTATATACACCAATCATTATGCCAAGTTGTCTGCTCTGTATATACACCAATCATTATGCCAAGTTGTCTGCTCTGTATATACCCCAATCATCATGCCAAGTTGTCTACTCTGTTAATGGTTCCTTGTATTATGACAAGATGTCTACTCTGTAAAACCACGTTGTTCTATTTCACAAGGAGCTCTGCAACAATTATTATGTACTATAGGAAATATTCCTGTGAGAACCAAACAATTTCTTTGATCAAGGACAGCTGAAGAAATATCAGTTATAATTTTCTGATTTATATTCCAATGGGAGTAAAAACTGAGTCTTATTTCATAATTATTGCAAAATCCTGTCTGTATAGAACACATTATTGTCTCAATTCCTCTCTAGAGAAAACGCATGTTTTTCTTACTGTGATTATGCTGACACGATTTTGAATTATTCTGGTTTGTAAGCCCAATGTCGCTTTTGGTATGTAGTTTGTTTCCACTTAAGGAGAGTTACATTTGGTTTACATCAATGTATGTAGTTACTTATTACAGGGTTAAGTACAGTTTTATTTCAATAGAACATAAGTTATTAAGACATTTGTGAAAAGAAATTCTAGTCTATAAAGAGTTTTGAGATTGTTTTTTATTCCTAAAAAGTTTGGACTTAAATCTAAAAAAAAATAAAAGGAATATATACTCATTAACGCAATTCAGAGCACAAAACCCTTCAGATACAAGTAGAAGATAAACTCTTGCGGGTAAAACAATTTTCAAAATAAACTGCTGTAGTGACTTTATTGCCTTTTTCTTTTTAGCTCAGTATATTAGTTTTGACATAGCAACCCTTTGTGAGTTGCTTCTGTATATAACGCATGTTCGAAATCGAGAGTTATCGAAGTTGCGAATATTGTGTCTTTTATTTGCATCAAAAAGTGTGATGATATTTGGTAAATGACAGATATATACGATAATACTGACAGTATTTGACACATGTATGGTAAGAAGTGAATGTATATTTAAGAGAATGTCAAGTATACGTTGTATATCATTACTTGTATATGATCAATCTTGACATTTTTCATCAATATTATGACAAAATCTATTAACCGTCTTGTACCATTTTATAATTATTATAATCATTGTCAACTAGGATATTTTTCTATATAAGCGTATGTTAACCATGAATTACTTTGACACATATTTTAAATGATTGCTTATATTAATAGTTTAACAATTGGGTATGTTAATCGGGAATCACTTTGACAGATATTTCAAAACAATGCTCATATGTATGATTTGAGCATTGTGTATAATCATACCATACCAGTAATTGTATGTTAATATTTTAAATAATTACTTATATATATGATTTAAAAATTGTCCATAATAGTCGGGAATTACTTTAACATATTTATTATTCAAGATTTCAGATATATGAAATCTCCCTCACAAAAATAAAAATTCTATGATAAAATAATTGATTGAAATATAATTTTGCCTTTTCAATTATTTATGAATGTGAAAATAGTAATAGTATGATTTGAGAGCCCAGCAGGCACATACATTCACATCCTATTAGATTGGCCATCAGTTCATTGTGGTTGCCATAAAGGTAGTAATATCTTCTACTAATACTGCCCTCGGCTATGTGGTTCTTGATATCGCCAATGAAGTCAGTATTCTGGAGACTCGAAAATGAAAGAGCTAATGGATTAAAATGACCCTATGAAGCGAGTATTTCATTAATTCCGTTAATAAGAGCAGAAATTGTCGTGTGAGGTAGTGAATGTCAAGGACTAGGCGCTCAATTCAGCCAGTGTTCAATCTACTTGTCATTTCATAATGAGTTGAAGGCAGAGGTGAGAAGTTATTTTGTCGTATACGAGATAACGTTGCCAAGTCCAAAGTGGTGGTGATCGTTATCAATGCAAATGACTATATAAGTTGAGTAATTGCCAATTCAACAGATTTGTAAAAGCCATAAAATACTGATGCGTAAGTTTAGATATTGAAAGAGTTTCCGAATATTCCTCGTAAGAAATTTCTTCCTTTTCAGTTCTTTTCATTAATTTAAATTAAATGATTGATTATCTGTTTAGGATTTGGTTTTATGCTTCATTTCTTACAGGACAATGGTACTGCTTTAATGAAAGTTTTATAAAAAAGTTAAATACGTCAGGAAAACCTTGAGATGCAAGGTCGACAAATCGTTTCAATTAAATAACTTCACTGTGAAATCTTTATTTCTCTTGGGTGAAAATTTTTGTAACTCAAAGGATTTTCAATTTATTGCTTTTTACGTCATCCGATATGTCATGCTAAATTTGCATATGCATGTCAGTCACTTCTTCTGGCACACACATTGACAGCAAATCGTACTCCGGATTGGAAATCAGTTTACCTTTACTGCTGATTAAGTAATCGTATACATGTACATGGATATTATTAGATATTGATTCACCTGTTTGTCAGGTGTCTGGTTTTCCTAGTCTTGGGTGTTCTTGAATGAACCTTTGTTTCTATCTCGTTTCAGAATCATGGATAGTAATTTTACTGGACTGAACGGTACTCAACATGTGTTTGTGAGATACAGCATCGCTGAACTGCACGAGATATTTGCACCAACTGCTGCAGCCATTGACCAGTGTGTTACACCAATATTATATGTTTGTGGAATTTTAACCAATCCGTTATCTGCCTACATTTGGCTCAGTCGCAATACCAGGAAAAATAATTCCAGTGCCATTTATCTCGGAATATTGTCTATTACTCACTTCTTCTTCAACATTTTACACATATTTGTGGAATTAAACTATGCATGGGGAGTGAAGACCTATAATGTGCCGATATCCTGCGAGGTATTTTATGCCATATATTATATCCCTCAATATTTACCACCTCTACTGGTTCTAGGTTTTACTGTGGAGAGGTATATTGCTATTTGTTTTCCGTATAATAAACATGAATATTGCACAGTTCGACGTGCTGTGCTAGTTATCAGTGGTTTAACTGTGCTCTCGGTGCTTCTCGGTGTTGTTCAGGCTTACTTCTGGACTTATGATCCGGAAAAACAAGATTGTGATCATCGAGCCAGTGCAAGAGAAGGTGGTAATGCCAGCATAATCAGTATCTGGACCTGGGTGACCGAGATTCTAATATTCAGTGTGGTACCTTTAGCTGCTTTAGTATTTAACATTTTAGTAATAATTGAAATAAGAGCACTATCGTCTGGTGGACCTGCGCACTTAGGACCCGGAAGCGGAAGTAGTCAAACAGCATCGACTGTGACATTGCTATGTGTTTCGTTTTACCTTATATTTACTTGGTTGCCAGCCACTGTGGTGTATTCAATACAAATGGCGATACCACTTGGAGGTGTATATCTTACGGATGACCAAATCAAGATTGATCCAACTTGGTCAAGTTACTTTACATATTATATCATTAGAAAGATCCTAGAAGAGTTTACTATTTCTAACTCTGCTTGCTATTTCTTCATCTACTACATTACTGGTAAACATTTCCGACAGGAAACTAAAGATATTCTAGGAGTAGATAAATGCTGTCAAAAGCGACAAGGAAAGACAACTCTGTCTGGATATACAACTGTAAATACTACTCAAGTTATAAATGGAAATGCTACTAATGTGTAGATTCCAGCTTGAACTATATGGTTATGCAAGTAATCGGAAGTACTAATCATATCGATATGGCCAATATGTTGTTTTGGATTTCGGGTTTCCTGTTGCAGTTAGTGTTTATTTATTGACTACATGCACCTTACGTTGTCCGACCAATAAGAAACAGAAACTTTGTTATTTCATTTTGGTTTTGTTATTCTGAAGTAGATTAAGTTTTTTTTAGCTTAGCTTTAGGTGGACAATTTAAGAAATACAAAACATAGAATCGCAGCTTGTTTTTACCAACAAAGGGTGCCATTGTCCCATTCTGTTGATAGTTTGAAAACACATCCCTCTAGGCATTAAGTCATACGTTGAATAAGTTCCCTTATTATCAGTTTTAATGTCAATAACTGACACGGTTGTATTAACAATTTCCGTTCGACGGATGGCATATTTGATGAGATGGTTAGGACCAATATTTTCTATGCATGATCACGATCGCTAACAAATACTCGAAATACTTTTAGATGCATTACACGAAAACAGTTTTAGCGCCGGAGATTTCAACGACTATGAATTGTTTGAAGTTGAAAACAGTTATCTTGTACGAAACCGGTTCAGAATTAAAAGTGGGATGTTATGCCAATAAGTTGCATATTAGCGGCATAAACCCAGCTTTGGCGTATTTTCAGACATTCAAATCGCTTCTTTGATTTGCTTCCATTGTAACTCCGTACATCTTCTTTTCAAAACACGGAGCATTATCCTTAAGATCAAAATAAGTCAGTTCATGACGCAATATATATCAGTGCTATCTACATGCGACAAACATGTCAAGAAATGTCGGCCTCAAATGCCATATGTTTATAAATGGGTTCTATTCCAGGCCAATAACTGGTAAAATTCGCTTCTAGTACAACTGGTATACAACTCAATTTATTTTGATTTCTGACTCTGACAAGGTTATTTAACCCCGGAAAATAGACATTAGTCTACGGCCTAATGGAATGGGAAGTATATTTCACAGTATTACAGATATATCTATATAGGATGAATTGATTAATGTACATTTTATTATATCTATTTCATCAGCGCGTTGCTATACTCCTAATGGTATGTCTATACTAAATCATTGCATTTACATTTATTTTGTGTGGATATCACAGAATCTGGCAATGAATCCATTTAGAACCAGTGAAATGTTGTGTTAAATACCAATTGATACTCATATATTTACATGGTCTTGTAGCTAGAGAGTACGATAACTATCATACATTACACCTTGGGAGTTGTAACCATATTTTACTCTTGTTTACACATAATAGACTTCGTGTTGCCGATCCAGATAAGCTATGTTCCAAATCCTATACAATACTGGTTAAATGGTAGATGCCATATTTCCATCCGCTTCCTGCAATCACACCCTATGTTGATGTTATTGGATGCAAATATCTTAATTTGGTCGCATAAACAATGACACCTGATAGTTTATCTGAAATACTATTCAATATGCCTTATGGTTGTCACGACCATTTGTGCCAGGAGCTAAATTGCTATTTTGAAAAGAAAAATAGACTGAATCGGCTGAAGTAGAAGATAAGTCGGTATGATGCTAAAATTAGTTTATTTAGAGGCTATTCCAGATGAGTGTGAGCACATATATATTTCCAATTGTATTTCACGAGCGGAATTGCACCAGAAATGACAATGCCAGATGCTCATTCTGTGGAACATGACCATTTTACGTACATTTAACCTGTATTGTAAAATATATGATAGTGATTGACGTTGATTTATTCATGAAAATATTCCACAACAGACAAGAGTGTCAGGAATCTCATTGCCTGATAATGTGAAGTGTCAATAAAGAGTCTGTGTTGGTGATAAAATGAGGATGACTTACGATGATATTTAGCCTGTAGACACCATTCAAATCACACTGTAAATACCACCTATCACTTTTCTTTATAATAACTGAAGTCACGTCTTTTTCTTATCAGAAATCCTTTATCAAGATGTATGGTGTTATCATTAACAAATAAGGCTCATAAGCAGTGGCGACGACAGCCTCCTTGAACTTTGTCAGGGTTGAGATTCCAAATGCGGAAGGTCTGAGGGGGTTCTCTTCCCCAAAACATTTGGAAATACATTCCTGGACACAAAAACGTGTCAAACGTACATTTATAATAAAGCTACCCTGTTACATATGATTTATTATCTCAAATATAAACTTGTATTTTCTGATCTAGATTATTAATTGTTGTTAATATTGCATGCTTTCGAGCTTAAAGCTACCATGAACTGTTAGAGATTTATTTAACAAAAGTATGTTATTATTCATTTCTCATTTGATTTCGATCTTGGTGCTGAAATTGCAAAATTGTTGTTTCAAACACTAGTACACGTACTGTATGATTTTACTTTCTTTTTGATGTATCTTTATAACATATCTATCTATGAAAGCTAGGGTGTAAATATTAAAATATGAATAAATAGTATATAAATATATGTCATTTATTTTGAATGTTGCTGAAATACTTTATCGTTTTCATTATGGAAATATTGACATATTGATTGCAGACATAAATTTGATCAACAGACTACGAACGTGTGGCATTTGATTGAGTGATAATCTCGCTATATTTTACGCTTTGAATACTAATAATGCACCCCAAGATAGGCAACAACATTCAAACTGCGTTAACTTTGGAATTTTGAACGACATATTCATATTCGTATGCTCCATTTGCATAAAAGAGATTGTAAAGAGATTTTCTGAACTTATTATATGAATCGGGCACATCCAATGGATGAAATCGATTTGTACCATTCCGATTAACAGTTAGACATCTTTGGGTCTCGCAATTCCACTAGAACTTAGAGTTTTTTGACGTCCGGTACTGAAACCCTAAACCTAGATCTGAAATTATGAAAAATTGATTCTGATTGGGCACAATAATGAATGTCCGGATCAAAGATCAAATGAATAGCGTCAGACGTGTATTGAGGAAGTGTTGTATGTGATCTGAGCGCCGTGAGAATACGCCGTCGCATTTTGAATCAATTGGGGAAAAAGAAGGACATGTCAACCACGACGATCGAGCTTCATGGTATCAAAGCTACTGTAATGATATAATTCAATAAGAGCCAAATGGCTGACCGGTATATGAACAAGAAAATTGAAAGCACTGACTTGTGAAATATAGACACAATACATCATTGGCTAATATACTTGATTCCCATATACTTAATAACCATATGAAAGTCAACGACGCATCTACACATCATTAATCTCACATACGATGCCGAAATCATATATCTCTTCTCATAAATGCTGATTAGTTAAGTCATGCCTATGAATACTGGATCTGTTGAACCCGAACCCTCAGTAGAATAGATATGCAAAAGTTAGCTAGACGAAGTAATGCACTCCAACGTTGCCAAGTATTATACAAAATATTTCGTAGCATCGTTCAGGGAAAGATGGTCCGGAATAGACGCAGCGACTTACTGCTCGTTAAAAGATTTATATTTCAATTTAAGGCGGGGGAGTTGGGAAAGCATCACAGCTGTGTGCATGTTACATTTGGTATTTGTTTGGTTTTTTTAAAAAAAAAAAAACATTCCTTTCGCAATCATCACTTGGTATATACTTTTGACACTTTGGACAGCGAGAAACTTTTCCAAATCTTCGACTTTCTTTTACTCACTTACTAGAACAATGATATTAAGCTGTTCCTAAATTTTGAAAACTTTCCATTATGATAAAGTTTAGCTGACACATCAAACAATATTTGTGCATCTAGGCTGGTAAAATTTATAATGAGAAGTCAATGCTGATTCTCATATGATCTAAGTGGTTGCCACGAGATCAGTATGTACTTATGTCCACTCGTTAAAGAATGAGGATTGGTTGTGTCATCTTTAACTTTCAAGATAACATAATGTAGGCCCTTCTTTAATCATCACACTCGATAACCAAGTTTATCAGCACAAGAGTACAAGGATTTTGTCGTATGACTGTCACTATGATTAACCAATCTGGCAATTTTGACCGAGAATTTCCTTCCGGTTTGGAAATGGATGGAAACGTTATTGTTTTTTGTTACGTATCTTTCACGATATAAAACACTATAGATTACAGATCTTCAGAGATGATCAGGAAATGCCTGTCCAACACGTCAAAACAATTTCAGTATTCATTTACACGCTATGCACTTAAACATATAATGATGATCATTTCAGTCATAATGCATTCAGACCTGACATTAAACCCACTAGCTTATTTTCAACATTTAATCCAGACCTCTTATGCATGTTGCACAATTTATATGATACAGATAATGCAGCTTAATGTAGCTTATTAATACAGCTTATTGAGTTATAAACCTCATAAGATACCGAATTAAGCCAGAACAGAACAGAAATACTGTGGAACCGTCTTAGCATGTTTTGCTTCATATCTAGTCGGCACTTATGGGGAGGCATTCTGTCAGATTCACAACAGTTCATCTTATTTTTATGTCGTCAACACAATCTCTTTTAGTACAGCTAAAGTCTGCCAATTTGAGATGTAAGAATAAAGTTCATTACTGAACATGATTAAAAAACTTACAACAGGTGCATTTAAATACATCCTAAATACTCACTCCAAAGAAATATGCCTTAAAGAATTGTAATATAGTTAAATATATATATTAAAAATTCGTAATGGAAAGAAATTTGCACCGTGTAAGAAATGAATGTATTTGAGAAGAATGATTTATGTCCTTTTATCTGTTTCACCGAAGCTACAAACCTTCTTAACAATTTCTTTTACATTCATGTGGACTGTATTTAGCAACTAAAAAATTGCTGTAAATGTCTGGGAGGTTCAATGGATAGATCCCATGTAAGGAACGCATAATGATTTGTTCACGATCATCTCTAGGAACCGAGACAGAGCAGTGCTACCACGAAACAAATCTGATTTTAATTTCAGATTCGCCGCGTTTGGGGACCTATTTAAACACCCTGGGCATTAAATTTAT